ACATGTACAACACATTCGCTTCGTTGGTCTCCACGGCGCCCAAGGCAGCCCAAAAGCTTCGAAGGCGGCCCAAAACGGGCACCGCAGGGTCCCAAAAGGCTCCCAAGAGCCCCAAGAAGGCCACAGGAGACCCCAAGAGCTCCTAAGAGGGCCCCAAGAAAGCAACAAGACGGCCCGATCCCCCCAAGACGGTTCAATACGAGCCAGGGACAGGCCAGGAAGGCCGCAAGACGGCTCTAAAGAGCCCCAAAAGGATCCCCCAGAAGGCCCTGAGAGGGAACACTCATGAATGTTCGCGAGGCTGCGTGGTAGATGATTTCAATGAAGTGCCAAAATCTGAACGCCAAGACGCTCCCAAACCCTGAGCGGGGGATCTCGCACCATCACACAATACGAGCGGCGCAACTGAACCTCAACTAGGCCTCGAGACGGCCCAATAAGACCGCGAAACTGTCCATAAGGCCCCACAAGGCGGGTTCATATTGCGATAGGAGCTGTTGGAGTCCTACGTGCCCTTCGGGGCCTACGATCCCTATGCGCCCTCCAAAAGGCCCCCGAGACGCCTCTCACCAAAGCCCTCTGAGGGCCATGAGCGTTGCGGGCCCATGAGCCGAATGATCCCCTGAGCCCTACGACACCGATGAGCCCGACAACCGTACGAGCCCTTCGAGCTCTGCGAACCCCACAACTCCTGTCAGCGCTACGAGCCCTCAGAGCCCCATAACATCATCTATGACCTCTACGAGCCCTCTGCAACACGTGCGCTCACGAGTCCAATTCGCCGTACGACCCCATGCTCCTGACCAACTCGTACGCCTTCTTATCCCGACGGACCCCATCGTCCTTAGCTCATGAGCCCTACGACCCTTCTCAACCCTATCACCCCTACGACCCCTCATGGGCCCCATGTGCCCTCCAAAGTCCCCCGAGACACCTCTGTCATGAGCACTGCGAGCCTTTACACCCCTACGAGCTCATGAGCTGAGAAAGTTCCTCAAACCTACGGGACCTACGAACCCTATGACCACCTCGTCCTCTCCCCTTTCTCCCCTCTCTCTCTCTCTTTATCCTCTCTCTCACACCTCCGCCTGCTGTGCTTCCATGCCGTTCAATGTAGCAATAAACTCGCCAGTCAAACGCAACAACCAACTATCTTCTGACACGCCCCATGAGCCCTATGAGACTTACGAGCCCTGCGAGGCCCCCTACCCCGTACGAGCCCCATGAACCCAAGGAGCCCTATCGGCACCTGAAAAAAATCATGGGTCATACGAACCTCATTAGTATGAGCCCTGTAAGTCCCATGAGCCCCATGCGCCCAAGGAGTCCGATGAGCACCACGAAAACCCCACACTCTCCTGTCCTCTCTCTCTCTCTTCTTATTATTCCTCCTCCTCCTCCTCCTCCTCCTCCTCCTCCTTCCCCTCCTTTCTCCTCCTCCTCCTTCCCCGTCAAACGTAGATCTCCGACCCTACGGGCCCTATGAGCCCCTACGAACTCTACGGGCCCTATGAGCCCTATGAGACCAATGAGCCCGACGAGCCCTACAGGCCCAGTGGGCCCTATGGCCCCTATGCTGCTGATGGGCCTCATAAAGCATACGAGCCCTATGAGCCCTTTCAGCCTCATGGGCCCCACGGCCTCCGTGCACCCTGAGAGCCTCAAGAGCCCAAGCGCCCTATGAGCCCCGTCGGCCATATAAGCCGTATGTCCAAGACGACACGTTCTGAACCTTATGAGCCTCCTGGGCCCAATTCGCACAGTGACCCTTCCGAGTCCCACGAACCTCACAAACCCTCTGACGGCCCCAAGACGGCCCAAGAAGCCCTCGAGGCGCCCAAAGAGAGCCCAAAGAGCCTTCCCAAGAGGGCCCCGAGAGGCCAGAATCCTTGCGTGTTTCTTAAGTGGGTAAATGTTTCGGGGGTCCTCGACTCGCCGAGCTTCCGACGCTCCAAGAAGGCCCACGAGGCCCCCACGACGGCCCCAAGACGGCCCCAGAGGCCTGCAAGAGGGCACCAGGACGGCCCAAGAGGCGCCCAAGACTCAAGACGGCCCACAAGGGTCCCAAGACGGCCCCAAGAGGGGGGAGCACGGACCGAAAATCCTAGACTTCGGCCCCAAGAGAAACCCAGGAGGCCCCAAGAGGCCACCAAGAAGCCCCCACAAGGCCCCACGACATGCCAAAGAACATCCTGGATGCCGTGATCCCCAACCCAGGCACGGTGGCAGGATGGGCCACCGGCCATTAGATACTCTACACCAGATAAGGTGCACCACATACATTGCCACATAACATGCACTATATAGGATACATATACAACATTGTTACAGCATAACTTGCATCGCGTAGTTTCGACATAGTTTGAACCGCTTGCTGCACGCTGGCAAACATGCTTTTGAAGACGCCTAAGACTTTCACGGCGTGAACACTGTCAGGGATTCCGGCTTGCGCGCCGGGGGGGAAGTGCATGTTAGTTGGCAATGTCGAGAAGTAAAACGTGCAACCTATGACGTCAATTAATGCGTGAATAATTGGGATGATTCCTGCTCGCACAAAACAAATATGATACATAACAACAGCACGCGGAGGTGCGCCGT